CCTTTTGTCGGGTGGTGGACACCATGGTGCGGTATGTACCAAACCCTGCTATCACTTCTTTCCAGCTCTGCATCAGGAACTCTTTCAGCATAGCCTTTACCAAGGAGATCATTAATAAAAGCATTATACTCCCTGTAAAACACTGGATCCCTCTGGAGCCTCCTCTTCAGATGGTATAGACGGTGTTCCACTACTTTCCTGTTATTTGGCATGCTGATGTTTGAGTTTTTCAAAGGCAAGGCGACCTGGTAGTGACCATTGATGTGTTTGGCTGACTTTGTGACCATGTCCATGAATCTCAGGTCTTCTCTGGACAGACCAACTTGTTCCTCCACAGCAGATTCTGGAAAGTCCATCTTAAATTGCTGTTGCCACAGTTCGTCCAAATTTACAATGGACACACGGTTCACAGTTACTGGCTGCTCACAGTAATTGGCCTCTCCACCATTTCCTGTTAGTGGTCCATTTACCGTCCAGCCCAGCACCGTCCTTACAGCGTAGGGTCCATTATGCTCACTGCGGATGACTTCCAGCGGTTCCATGGCTCGTGGGACATTTGTTCCAATCAGCAACTCAATTCCAGCCTCAATCTGTGGTAAGGAGATGTGTTTTAAATATGGCCACCTTGTCAGATCCTTATTTGTGGGTATGTTTGCTTTGTGGACTGGCATTGACAACTGAGTGTATGCCTTTGGCAACTCAATGAAGACGTCATCTTCAAGTGCCGCCACCTCCAGCTCTGGCACGATGCAACTACTGACCACCTTCTCCTGCCCCATGGTCCTGAGAAGAATGTTGGCTCTCTTCCCGGATAAACTGAGCTTCTGCATCAGACTCTCAGAACAAAAGACTGCAGTACTTCCCTGGTCCAAAAAGGCATATGTGTGAATGATTTTATTGCCCTTCTTCGCCTTTACTTGGACCGGCACTATAGGAAGCTTGCAATCCATCTCACCAGCCCCTGTAAGCCCACTAGAAACCAAGGTGCCGTCCGCTGTAACCTGGACGCTTCTCTCAGCCAGTGGTGCAGTCGCCACACTGTCCTTATGGAGCACAGTCGGGTGTTTTTGGCCACACTTCGAGCAGGAAATCTTCCTTTGGCAATTTTTGCTGATGTGTCCTATACACAGACAGCGAAAACAAACACCTTTTTCCTTCAGGAAGTCAATTTTCTCCTTGTGTGCCATTTTTTCCAACCGTGCGCACACATCCAATGTGTGTCCTCCAGTGCAGCAGGGACAGATCTTCTTGGCTGGTGGTTTTATGTCCTTGGCTCTTTGTTCACAGGTTGGGCTGTTCTCTCCACATGATTCACTGTGGTAGCGAAGCTGGTTCCTCTGATGCTGGAGCGAGGGTGAGGTTTGTGTTTCATTTGTTTGGTTGATGTAGCAATGTCCTGGATGTTTCCAAACACAGGGTCTGTCAAGATTTTCACCTGTTTTTCTACAAAGTTGGCAATGTCCATAAACCTTACTCTTCTGTTGTACCTTTCCTGCAGGTCACACGCGTGGCACCTCCAGCGGTCTCGGAGTTTGTAGGGCAGTTTTTTGATGATTTCCAACATGTTTATGGGCGTGTCCAGATCATTTAACTCCATTTTCAACTCCATTTTCAAAGGCTTTAATAAACGAATGGTATTTGAGTGGGTTACCATTGAAAATGAGAATTTCCCTTTTTGGGAGTGCTGAGAGGCATTGTTGCTGAATTAGGAGTGTTGTAATTTCATTTTGTTTTCTCATTATGCCCAGCACACTGTCATTTTGTGAGGCGTCAGTTTGTGTAACATTGATCACAGGATCTTCAGGAGCCATTAGATAACGTTGGAGCATGTAAGGAGGACCTGGGAGATGTTTTATGTCAGGTAAGTGAGTGGCTTTAGGCTTCACAGCTGTCTGTGTGTTTTCAAGTGCATTGGGTTTTAGTTTAACTGGCAGTGATGGTACAAATTCAGTGGCATTGACATTAAATTGTTGTTTTGAGCGTGTCTTTTTATAGTATGAGTTCATCACATCTGAAACCTTTGACTTCGATTTACTGCCAACACTGCTTTGTGATTTTATAACACTTAGTTTTGCCATTTCCTCAGCGATTTCATTCTCCAGTAAAAGCTGTTCTCTTCTTTTGCGTAGCTTTAACTCCTCTTCATCCAATGCGTGTTTTTCCTTTAATGCCTTTTGTTTTGCTGCCAAAATTGCAAGATTTGTTTCAGTTTTTAAGCGAGCAGATGAGCGTGAAGCTGATGATGAGGAATGATGTGAGCGTGATCTCTTTGTTGCATTTGAGATGCTGTCGCAGGGCCGAAGTTCATCCTGAGGATCTTGTACGGTGGAAACAGGTACTGCAGCAGACAAATCCTTGCTTTTGTCGACAAGAAAAGCCTTTGGTGGTTGATCAGTATTTGTCTGAAATGGTGATTCATTTGAGTTTTCATGTAGACTTTCCTGTATCCATTTTTTCACTTGTTCTCTGAATGCATCACTGTAATCCATAATGCTGGAAAACCACTCATTTTGTTTTTTATCTTCATCATCAGGAAGTAGCGGCAGTAATTCATTGTGCAGGTCGGTGGCCTTTTTAGACAGTGCATTCAAGTTGTTCAGTTGTGAGGGAATTTCAGTTACATTTTCTTTTGATTTCATGTGCGCTTTTATTTGCGGAATAAGCGCTTTGATTTTATTAACGGCACTTTTGCGCTCATGCTGGAGCCGTTCGATTTTAATTTCCAAAACTTTGGCCGTCAGTTTAATTTCCCTTTTTTCATTTTCCATGTTTGAACATTCAGCGACAGCGTTTATTTGACTCATTTACGTTAGATTGAATTTTGTATAAAGCAACACAATCACAGTTCATCGAGAGCACATTCAAAATCCATCCATAGACATTGCATTTAAATCATTCGATCCAAGCAGATTCGATCCGAGCATTCCAACAAGCAATAGGCCTTTAGACAACATCAGCCGCCACGTATTTATGCCACAAGGTCCCGACATCACAATCAAATAAAGCACGGAGAGGTTTCGCCACCATCAATGCGTAAATGCAACCAGCGTAACATCCATTTAATACATTGTCCTCATTTGACACACTGCATTCCAATCGAAGCGGATTCCTTAATCCACAAACACAGGTTCAGGCCTACCTGTTCCCAGGTGAATGGATGGCGTGGTGTGGCACTTAGCTGTGACTCCTTTGTTCTCAGGCTAATCGTTGCGTGATGACTTGGTTCTTTGGCGCGACTTGATGATCTTCATTAAACGCCTTTTTTGTTGACAAAATGTTGCGGCTTCCAAAACAGACCTTTTAGCCGCTGAGAGTGTGATGTTGGGTCTTCAGATTCGCAGCTTTGTGACGCGCTAGGAGGCTATGATGACAGATACACTGAGATCCAAAGATGCTTTTGGCGCATTTATTATGAACAAACGGCACAGAGCTGTCACAGCGTAGCGAAAATGGATGAATGGAAAAATGAAAACCAACAGATTAAACAGATAAAAAAGTAATGGATGAATGAATGGATAGCGGTCAACAAAAATTAAGGCTACCCAACCCTGACTCTCTCATCTGTATCACAAGTGAGTGCGCACCTTTACACACACTTCCGCACGTGACCACGCCTACTCCCACGTGAACCACCACCTCTGCAACACACACACACACTCAAGCACACCATGCTCCTCATCCTCAACCTGTATGTCTCCTACAGTTAGTATAGCACCACCTATGGACAAATCGTGGGCATTCTTTCTGGTATAGTTACTCATGGTCTCTAGTTGCAGTATGCAAATTTTGAGCATTTTTGGTCAAGGACTTTTTAAGTTATTCACGAAAAGCTTTGTGGACCGACCGACCGACAGAGTGACCTATAGAACTGCGGGTCGCTGCTAAAAAGAGAAAGAAAAAAAGTATTTTCTGTATTTGAAAATACAAAATACATGTATTTTATTTTGATACATTTTCTGGCACCAGTATTTTGTATTTTATTTTGATACATTTATTTGAGGGGTATTTTGTATTTTGTATCAAAATACATTTTGATGTATTTTTGCCCATCTCTGACAATAATATAAGTAAGCAGCGCCAATTGATCAGTCAGTGACCCACATACAACACCTGCACACCGTGAGGATGGAAACAGAGAGCTCAGCAGGGACAGAGCGCCTGCACAGCAAGCGAACACACCATCTGCAGTCATTTTGACTTGACCAGCGGACTTCACTACAACCTGTTTGGCTGTTGAAACAGGTGGTTTCAAAACCAGGGGTTGGCGATTTGACCAGCTGAGTTGCAGGTGACCCCATCAGCTGGCTTGAGTCGAGCTCAGACGGCTTGTTCACACCGCTGCAGATTTTGTCTACAACGTTCTAAAAGGGTTTCATCTTGTCACAAATCTTTGGTCTGAACTGGGCGTTTCAATAGAATAAAGCTCATTTGGGTATAAAAAATAGAAAACAAATATTCTGTCCATAAAATCAGTCTCTTATTCATGGAGCAGCTGCAGACTTAATAACCCATGACATCACAAGTTTAAAACTTACTTCTCTGGTTTCACAAATATTGATTAAACTTTCCTAGGCCGTGGAAATAACATATTGGAATTCTTAATCTAGGTGGTGTTCCCATCAAACATTTTTTTCAACTACAAATATGTGCTCATCAGAGGTGCCATTGCATTACAGTGTGTCATAAAGCATTTATTAACTGATTACATACAGCATGTTAAACAGGTGGAATAACTGTGGGTGACTTAAAGAAAAGTGTGACCTGCTGTTCACATAAACTTGTTATATAATCCAGGCTCTAGATTCTAGAAGCATCTCAGAGGCAGAGCAGGGCATCATTGATGTTGAGATTAGCCTGGAGGGACAGATTGTGTCAGGATTTTTTTGGGGGGGAAACGGTTGAGCACAACACAGTCAGTGAGAGTTACTGTGGGTGTTGAAGGCTGTACGATGCTTTGAAGTTCACACAGTCAACGTCTCAGTCCATTGGCAGGTAGTCAGTTCAGCCACTTCCTCTGATCACCGAGTGAAGCAACCAGCAACAACCAGAGGAGATAAAGAAAGACAGAAAGAAAGAAAAGCTTGTTTCAGACAGACAGAGAGACGAGGAGCGAGAGTCATGAATTCACTGAGGACAGGTGTGTTGGTGCTGTTTGTGCTTGTGGTGCCTGTTTCCTCGAAAGGTAAGTTATATAAATACACAACAGCTGTTTTGGGAATGAGTTTGGGCTGAAGTGTTTGCATAAGTGATCAAGGACACCCGGCACTGTGAAAGAGTCTGTGGGTGTCGAGAGACTGATGCTGAATTAATTTCAAACTAAACTCTGATGCTTTTTGACACAGAAATCTTGGTTATCTTCCGTTACGCAGGCCATCGCTCCTCGGGTACATGACAGCTGAGAGAACAGGATGCACTCGATCTTGTAAATGACTTCAAATTACTTGTTCATCAACTTTTAGGAGACATAATATCTTACAGAGAGATATAAATATCTGATGACTGTTTAGCAAAAGCGCAAGAGAGTCACAGATGAGATAGTGAAGTTTCCTCTTCACAGCATTATCTAATGGAAAAAGTTGAGCTATTTGAGGTTTTGTCACAAGGTAAAGACGATAACACATAAATTAATACTTTCTATTCAATGCTATCTGAATAGATGTGTATATTTTCCAACTCAACACAAATTGAAATGAATGAACAAACTTGCAGTCCATTGCCGACGCACAAATTGAAATAAGAAGAAGGTGTTTAATGCTCTTAAATTTTACATTCTGCAGAAGGGCTTTGGTTATTTTATTCTTCTTACATAAACTGTAATAAATCCATATGTGACTGACTGTAATTCAGCAGCGTCAACACAAAGTAAACAATAATATTCTTTCTTTCCTCTTTGTTTAACTTGAGAAGTTTTTTCGGTAGAGGAGGAAGTTTATATGCATTTGATGTTTCCCAGACTCTCCCTTTTATGTCGTAGTTAAGGAGGGCTGTGGAAAAAAACATTTTCAAAATGATCAAAAAACACTTTCAAGTGCTGTCGTGTATTTCAGTCAGACTCATCATGATGAAGGCATTACAAGAGAGTGCGCATGAATAAATAATCTCCCTCGTGCGAAAACACTGAAGGTGAATTTGTTGCAACTTGTTAAGATGAAACATCAGAACTTCCTCAGCGGAGAAACAAACTCTGTATTGTGTGAAGGATGGCTGCTGTCATAACACCTGGCTGCATACTTGTAACCTTGTGACCTTTTGAAGGCCTTTATTCCTCAGTTCCTTCCACCTGGTTTGAACGTTATCACTCTGACATCTCTCCATTTAATGCGTGTGGATTTCCTGTTTGTGCATGAGAGTGTATTTCGGGCTTGTGTGTATATGACAACAGTGAAAAAAATGTAATTACCTCTCAGGGATTAATAAACTATATCTTCTTCTTCTTCATTAAGGAGTGGGTATCAGAGTTATAGATATAGGTTAAGAGGCTCCTGCTACACTGACTAGCATAGCTAGAAGGCCTTTATCAGCCATTTAGCATCCAAGTTTGTTGTAATGCGACAACATGAGTTCACGTCATCATTGGAAGGTGTGGGGGAGGGTGGATGGCGTGACATCTAGGCCACACGGCTGCTAAAGTGCAGACCAATGTTTGAGATGAACAAATAACAACGCCACCTGTTTATTAGTGAGACACTGAGGCGTTTCCGGCAGCATTTGTGCCTGCAAATGGGGGCAGTTTAAGCTAAAACATGGTCTTTTCTCAACCACAACCACATCATTTTTGTACCTAAACAGTTGAATTTGTCATCAGAGGGTGTGGGGGATGGTGGATGGCGTGACATCTAGGCTAGATGGCTGCTCAGCTGCAAACCGCTGCAGACCAGTATTTGAGACCAACAAACAACAATACAGCTTATTTACTAGTGAGACACTGAGGCGTTTCCAGCCACATTCGTTCCCACAAATGGAGGCGTTAGAAGTCAAAACATGATCTTTTTTTGCGCCTAAGCATAACCATACATTTACAACAGCCTGTTTGAATTGTAAAGAAACGTAAAGTATTGCCAACAGCTGATAACAAGGTGATAACAGCATCCTGAACATGCTCGTCGATGCAGCAGGAGCCCTCTAACCTATTTCTACAACACTGTTTACCACTTACCAACAATGGGTTCAGGAGTCGGCAACCTTTACTGTTAACAGAGCCATTGTAGGCCAAAAAAAGAAAAAAACAATCTGTCTGCATTCATTATATGATTTACTACAGGGTGGCTACTCTGCAGTGGGCTGTTTAGAATAGAATAGAATAGAAAGAACTTTATTCATCCCTGAAGGGAGTTCAACCATCCAGCAGCTTATAAAAAACAACAACCACATTTCCCCGCATCAACAACAATACGGTGATATTAAAATAGACATAAAATGAAATAAGTTAAAAATAAGTGCATAAATAGAAATTAGAAATCAAATTAAAATTAAACTGAAATTGCTCATTCCACAGTCCAGCTGTGGCTACTGTGGTGTGTGTGACTGGATTCAGGAGGTGTTAAACAGTCTTACTGCCGTACTTAATTTCACACCATTATTAAATCCTCTGTTTTCCTCCAAGACATTTCCCTTTTTGGATTTTAAAACCATAGCTTGCCGCAGCAAAATTTAGAGGAAAAGGCACCAGGTCGTAGACGTATGACGCACGTTTTGTCTATGAAATGTTAAGACATTTTTTAATTCAATGTATAGGCTACATATTTTTACAGTTATAGAATGCAGTAATCACTTTAGGCCATCAACAATGATATATGAAAATATTAAGAATGTTAAAAAATAACTATTATAGAAGGTCTAAAGAGCCACATGCGGCTCCTGGTCTATGTCATAGAGTCATAACATTTAAAATGGGTGCTCCTGTTTACTGATGATAACTTGCTTTATATTGAGAAATAAAGAAAAAACAACAAACAAAAATCAGGAAATGTGTGTTTACTATAACAATAAAGAGAGGCAAGGCAGCTGTATTTGTACAGCACATTTCATACACAAGGGCGATTCAAAGTGCTTTACAGAGCAATAAAATATAAACCCGACAGAAAAGAGTAAGGAGAAAAAAACACAAAAGGTAAAATTGATTACTAAATGATTTACAATTTAAAAAAATCACCATTAAAAATAGCAAAAGTGCGGATAAGAAATAAGAGATTATTAGGATTATTTAAATTGATTTAAAATTGAGTTTTAAAACAAGGTTGCAGTCATTACAGGGTGGAGGAGGCAGTGTAAAAAATAATGTTTTCAGCTGCGACTTCAAAGTGCTCAGAGTCTGGCTTTTCTAACATCATCTGGAAGGTTATTCCAGGTTTGTGCTGCATGATAACAAAACGCTGCTTCACCACGTTTTGTTTTAACTCTTGGGACGGTCAGTAGGCTGGCTCCAGATGTCCTCAGGGTCCGAGAAGGTTCATATATTTGGGTGCTGAGCCATAGAGTGATGTTTTGAAATCAGTTCTCTGTGTGACAGGTAGGCAGTGTAAGGATTTTAGAGCTGGAGTAAAGTGGTCATACCTCCTAGTTTTTCTAAGGACCTTAACAACAGCATTTTGAATAAGCTGAAGTTGCAGAACAGCTCGATTTGAAAGTCTTACACACAGACCACTGCAGTAATCTAATATATTGGAAATAAAGGCATGTGTGAGCCTTTCAAGGTTTTGATTTGACATTATACCTCTGACTCTAGAAATGTTTTTTAAATGGTACTAGGCAGATGACGTTATGGATGTGGAAATTTAAATCTGAGTCCAATATAACACCAAGGTTTCTTGTGTGACTCTTAGTTATAAGCGGTGAGAGTGATTAAATACAGCACGTATTTCCCATAAATAACAAACTCAACTACTGCACACACATTTTCCCTCTTGTGTTTCATCTTTAAAGCTTAAAGTGTGGAAAGATCTTATTTCACACTGTCTGACTATAAAACAAATTGATTGTGTATCAGCTTGTTTTAGCTTTTGTGCATCATTTTACACATTCCCTCAAATCTTAATCTGACACTCTGGTATTTTTTTGACACTTTAGGATCTCCAGTATAATCTGAAATATAATTTAGTAGATTTAAACAATGTTTGGCTTTTCTAGAAGTAAAACAAAGAGTTTGACAGTTAGTCTTTGCACCCCAAGTCTGTATTTTTTTTGTCTGCATTTCTTTAATTCTTAATCCAATAATAAATCTGTCAGTGTGCAGTCTTCATGTCCTCCTCCTTATCATAATTCACCTCAATATTACTATCTGACCTTCTGAAGTGTTATCTGACTTATGAAATGATACTGAAATGATGTGCCCTGTTTCTCCGTGTTCCGGATGTAGCCGCAGGTCATGCCACATTTTTTCTTCGCTGCTTTTTGGTCAAACAACTCTCTAAAAAAAAATGCAGAAAATCAAGCTTATGCCGAAAACTTTAAGGACAGACGTCAGTGTGTAAAAAGGATCGACACAACGTGAGGTCTTTATTTTTAAACATGTGGCAAATCCGGAAGACTTGGTGTGCAATGGCCTTTAGAGTCAGATGAGAAGATTTGACACCACTCTGATGTCTGTGTGTGATGATATGAGCTGGAGCTGGGTAGTTTATCTTAGCATAAAGACTGGAAACAGGAGAAAAAAGCTCTGTTCAAAAGTCCAAAGTTGTCAAAATCCAGCACTTGCTCAGTGACTTCCAGCATCAAACACCAATGAAAAAAGCTGTCCTGGGACAAAAAATGAAAGTTAAGGTGGCAGAAGTAAGTGCGTACAGGATTACGGCTGCTGGCATCACTAACCCAGGGTACCATACATGTCAAATGTCAACGTGGAAAGTCCATGACCAAAAGTTGATATGTGACAAGGTAGGAGTGAAAGTGTTGGATAAAATCTACCTACCAGCAGCAGCTCACCATTTACCACATTATATGTCATTAGTTTCATCCACACACAAACTGGTGTTTGTTGGAGGAGCCAGGGTGGCTGTTTCTCCTGTTGTTGTCTTTATGCTAAGCTAAGCTAACTGGCTGCTGTAGCTAAATCTAGAACATTTTCATTTTATGAAACAGTGCAACCATAGAAAAGTAGACTTGGGTTTATGTTTGTGCTGAGCTATGCTAACCTGGTTGCTCCGTATTTAAGGTACAGACACAAAAGTGGGTTGTTGATCTAATTATCTCACACTCTCACACCTGCCCTGTTTGGTTTGGTTCAATTGAACTCAAGTTCAACCAACTGCAGTCACATGACACATTGTTTGGGTTAAACATGAGCATGTTACAGTCCTGGAGGATTATTAATGTGCACCTCCTCCTGTACTGCCTTAATATGCACATTCAGCACATCCAATGCATCAAAACATTGTTTTCTAGTTGGAGCTGCGCCTCATTTTCAAACTGTATGGTTTGACTAAAATGAACAATGACAGCAATATAGTCCACGATGACCAGCGCTAAAATCAACCTACGTAAACCACCGTTTACTTGGCCCCCCGAGTCCAGTTTGTTTCATTGGTGTGAACACTGTCGTACCTGGATCCACGGCCGGGTCCATGTGAAAAGGCGTCTGAAAGGTGACATTTTGAGAACTTAAACAACAGTGAGTCTTTGACCAGCTCGGCTTCACTTCCCTCTCAGTGACAGAAATTACACAATTTGTTTTTGAAGTCTAAAAATAATCTAAAAAGAAACTCAACATCCTGAGGCAACTTTAGGTGATTTAGATTTGACGAGGAAGTTTCAGCTTCAATGAATCACCATGACTGGGGACTATCTAACAACATGGCGTCTGTTCCGACCGCACAGTGAGATAAACGGGCCTCGCCAAGACCACAGAGCAGCCCATCATCGAGCTGACAGGAAGACATTTATCTACTGAACTGCACATATGTAGTTTCCTGTTGCAGGGGGGTCTTACTCAACGCTCTCATGAGCCCCACTAACCGGCTATTTTCCATCTCATGTAGCTGAACGGGTACCCTGTAGGTCATGTCAGACACACACACACACACACACACACACACACTGAGGCCTTATGCCCTACTTTTTTAGTTTGTTTCTTAAGTCAGAAGAGAAGCACTTGAACCCTTACAGTAATTTAAAGGAATAATATCACAACAAATAAGAAGTACTAAATTAAATTAAATTAAATTAAAAAAGTAGTAACTTTCAAATAAAATTTGCAAAATGAAAAACTATTTTATTATTATTTTAATATTACTGGAACAAGTATTAAATACTCCATTAGAGTTGTTTTTTTTAATTTTTGTTCTTTGAGATCGGATCAGTCAAGATACATGATTTTTACCTGACGACGGCAGTGATATATGTCTGATAATATTTATATTATTGGATTAATAAATTATTCGTATTTACACCCAATGGTGAAAGAAGTATTCAGAGAATCCTTCGACACACAGGACCCCAGGAAGAATAGTCTTCACTTTGGATCCATAATAAAACATAAAACACAGCGAGTAAAAATAATATTATAACAAATAACACTTAAAATAAATTACATTATTATTGTTTATGTATCGTATGTGACAATATATTATACATAAACAATATATATATTATACAGTGTATCACAATATTATTATTCCCAAGAATTAGATGGAATAAGTATTAAATATTTTGCACATTTATCGCATACTGTACAACACTGATATGTAAATTTTCGTAAATATTTTTTTTATTACTTTACAATACTTGTTTCTATATCACTTCATTGGACACTTTGTTTTGCATTGTATATATTTACACAAAGATAATGTACAGTCTATTGATATATTTTGATATGATGTATGTAATGTATCTCACATCTAAATATTTTTTTGTTTGTTTCTTTTTGTTGTATTTCATTTATATAACTCAGTTTATCTTTTGTTAATTTTCTTCTGCAATCAACGTTTTATTTAAGCAAAAAGAAATAACTATTACAAGGAAAGTTTGTCTAACAGTTTGTATTTATTGTAAAGAAACCGGTTAATACATGGTTTTCTAATTTTGTTTATAATATCAGTGAAGATAAATGATTATTATCCAACATCAGTGATAAAGTATTAAATATAAAAGTGCTTGTTATGTTGTGAGAGATTTAAAAATCTGCCATTGCAGTAAAGATGTAGCTTATTTACTGTATTACTCTGTCTGTAGCTTGAAACAGGAAAGATACCGTACACAGAAAGCAAGAATAAAACAGGTCGCTGCATTAGAATTATGAAAAATTACATTACAGAAAATACTAAACAGCTTTAATATTCCTACAGCTCCCAGATTGTTTTTTATCCACTTTTAAAAGGACTCAATCGGGGCATCGGTGGCTTAGTGGTAGAGCAGGTGCCCCATGTACAAGGCTGTTGCCACAGCGGCCCGGGTTTGACTCCAGCCTGTGGCCCTTTGCTGCATCTCTCTCTCTCTCTCTCTCTCTCTCTCTCTCTCCTTCACACTTCACTATCCTATCAATTAAAGGCAAAAAATGCCCATAAAAAATATCTTTAAAAAAAGGACTCAATTATGGATTAAAATGACTCATAATGCAGATTTTGTGCACTGAACAATGCATAAACTTAAGTTTTGAAAGCAAAACCTTAATCTGCAATGTAGTAACTTTAGGTGTCAAATAAATGTAGTGGAGTTAAAAAAAAAAATGAAAAATTCAAGTAAAGCCTAAATATTGCAATTACGTAAAGTACTTTAGTGAATGTAATAGCTCCACTGCTGTAACTAGGCTACATACAAGTTATTAGATTTACTATTAACTATCTGTTTCTACGTCCTATAAATCAATGACAATAGGCCTTTTTCACAGAAGACATATGTGACATGTTGAAGTAAAGCACAGGCTAAAATGTTGTCATGTTTTACTGGGAGATTTAAATTAAAAGAAGCCATCATTAACGTTATTAGTGACACATGTTCTTTTATGATAAGCCAAAATATCGGCTGTGAAAAAGGCCTGAAAGGATTCTCTTGCACTGTCCTTATTTTTTGCACAGAAATAATTTTTGGAAAAAGAATAGTCCAATAATATGTACAATGTTTCAAGCTTTTGTTAAAATACCAATTTTTTTTTAAAATTAGTTTATTTATTTTAAATTGTTCTTATTCTTTTAATATCTCATGCTGCCCTTTGTGCTGCACTAATGTGAATTTCCCTTAGGATGAATATAGTCATATTTGATATTATCTTTTAAAATATAAATCTGAAAGATAATGTAACTGCTATCAAATAAAAGTGGTGGATTTAAAAAACACTTCTCCCTGAAATTAATTTAGGAAAATTCTCACAAAACAGAAATGTTGAAACCCCTCAGAAATATACTGTATAATATTTATAATATTTCTCTGTTTGTCCTGCAGAGATATTTTTCACTCACCCGGTCATCTGCTACTTTCTGGATGCAATCCTGGTTGTTTACTGCATCGTGGCCACGGCACTTTTCTTCAAAGAAAAGGTGAGTTACAGCACAGGAAGTGGAGCCTCTCTGAGCCTATGTAACTGAAGTAATTAATCAAGTAATTGTTCAGTTGACAGACAGATTTTTATTTTTTATTTTTATTTTTATTGATTTTACATTAAACAGTATACATTTGTTTACAGCATACATATACGTCATTGCATATATGAAAATAATAGCATAGTAGCTGTAACACTCAAATACTAACAAGTATGTAAGATCCTTCACCCACTTATCCTCCCCCACCCACTACCCGCCCCAGCCCACCCACAATCCCCACTTGCCCCTTTAAGTCCAGATCTTCACAAGAATGATTGTCCACCTGATGAGTTTTAATAATTAGTTATTTCTTGTTCAGCAAGTAGAAATAACAGAGGATTTCTGGATAAGGTTTCTCAGGTGTAAAGATTTGCTAGCAATGAATGAATGAATGACTTTATTTTGAGCAATATAGAAAATAAAAACAAAACAAACATGCTCAAAAAGGAGTAGGAAGAAGTGTACACTTGTGTAATCTGACCCCTCTTCTCAGTATTCACATTCCATTTAAAAAAAGGAAATTGTCGATAGCTATCCCAAACTAATTTCACAACCATTAATATAGATAAATAAACAACAGCCTTAGATATTAAATATACAAACCCCATCGGAACCGAGCCCAGATAAATAAATTATATGATATCCAGGTGTATACAGCATGAGGGGGACAATCACTATTATGGTGTTTTATTACAGGAAACCAGCTGTTTGAGTTCAGATTAGCTGAACATGAAAAAGTAAAGAAATACTGATGGACATGTTTTATAATGATATGTACAGTTGTGTTCGAGGTTCAAAACATGTACAAAAAAACAAAAAAAATTAAAAAAAAAAAAAAGGGCCCATTTGTACATTGGGAAAGACAATATTTTAAATAAAGATACTGAGAAACCTTTTGTTGCCACAGACATTCCTGAGAAGTTAATTTTTTATCATTTTATTTTAAATGAAAGTAGGTTGTTTTTAACCATATAGCAACCATTATTTATGGCTTATTTAATGTTCCCATCTGATTTTGTGATCCAGTAACAATCCCAGAAATTTATTTTCACACACTTTTTCTATATAAACATTATCTATCTTAAAGGAGCTATATGTAAGAAATCTAAAGCAAATAGTCGTAAAATCCTCCTAATATGTCACAGAGACTAAGGAATAATGTTCATATAACATACTGATCTCACCGACAACAATAGTACAGCCAGAATATTCACATTTAAAAAAAATTTTTACGGTCCGCAAATCATGTTTATGTTTTGATGTATTTGTGTTTTGGCCTGTTGCGCCACCCACCGCCGTCTACCAGTCACACAGTCAGTAGAGTCTCAGCATCAGTTACAGTTACGACTGAGCTACAGCAGCACGGCAAGCAGCATTAGCAGTGTCCCGGTACATAGCATTAGCAGTCGGCTCCTCCTCAGATGAAGGACGGAGCAACGCGACTCTGGGCAAACAAATCAGTCTCCAACGTGCCGCTGTCCAGCAACCTCGAATCTGTAGGGGAGGGGGGGCGGACATGACTCGCAGCAGTATTTTGAATTTGAGTGCAGTAACCGTTTTGGCCACATTCTTACATACGGCGCCTTTAATTTTCACTTGCGCATCAGTTTTTCAATTACCAAATAACGTCATTTTGGTTTTTGTCAAAACTGAATTAGCAACAGTTTGTTTCTGTCAAACCGTTTTTTAAGTTTATTCAGTTCTGTTGTGATTTCAGTCACAAGCAGCTGTATCCTCTCAAGAGCATGAAATAGTTTTATTATCTGCTAAAAAAAATAATAATAATAATGTTTTCTTTTAACATAAATTATCAATATAAAATAGAAACAGCAGTGGTCCCAATACTGACCCCTGGGGTACACCACAAATAATGTTGCAACACGCAGATTCTATTCACCCATTTGAAAAAATTGCTGTCTGTTTTTTTAAAATACATTTTTAATGTTCTTTATCGTTTAATCTGACAGTTCTTTTTGAGATTATTCAACTAATAATCTATACAATGACATAATCACATAATGCCCATCACAATTTCCCTGAGTGGAATGGGACATCTTTAAATTGCTTGTTTTGTTGAAACAACAGTCCAAAACCCCAATATGATTAATCTATAAAAATAGAGAGGCAACAAGTCCTCACATTAAAGAAGGTAAACCCTGAAAATATTTGACTTTTTTGCTAAAAATATTAAACAGTTAATCAGCTCTAACTGGAAGACATAAATTTGGACTCTTGTAATTAATGATGATAATTTGTTATGATTAATCAATCACCTTTCACTTGCTTAAAATAATGTTTTTAATATATTTTTTCTTCCTGTCTGTAGTTTTCTCACGTCCCGTCTGCTGCAGCACCTGTAAGTTGACACATTTTCCATTTCTTCACAGTTAATTCATTGATATTTAAACTTAATCTATTTGTACATGTGTCACTACTTGAATATGTGCATTTCACACTCTTACTGTATGTATTTCTCACTGATTTCTCACTGACAGGCAGATGACGGAGGCATTTACCAGGTAAGAACCCTCACACCACTCGATGTGTTTAACTCTGCTGTTAGGTATTTAGTTATAACGTTATATTTCCTCTCCAGGAGCTCGACAGGATGAAGGATGATGATCCTTACCAGGTGCTCCAGCCAGTAAAAGCAAAAGTAAGTCACTTAATACCTGTAAAGGTCTCATTCTCACCTGTTCTGGTGTCTTCACTGTCAGTCACTGTGTTGTATTTTATCTTTTCTAGAAAAAAGGCAAGAAGAAGAAGAAAAAATCCGAGGTAAGATGCTCAACTCCAGCACATAATCTCAACAATCAGAGGTGTAAAGAAAATAAACTCTATTATTATGGTTCAAGATAAAAAGAAACATAAGCGAAATGGTTTAGATGCATAAGTATAAATGTTTTGCTCCACTTAGCATTTCTGAAACGTGGTCGCAGCTCAGCTCCTCGTGGCAAAAACTCTTTGATGCCTCGCCAAAATCCACATACAGGTCTTACATTAAATCAGCAATAACAACAATCTCAATTTGAATTTAAAGTCATTATCACAGCCTTTATTTTATTTTAAAAAAAACAGGTGTTACTATTAACATTTACGATGGCTCTGTGCTGTGAGTCCCAGTAAGTCCTGACTGAGTTTCGACCTCTGGAACAGACAAGGACCTCTGCCCGAGGACCTCAAACTACATCCTGGTGTGTACGGTATTGTCAGGGGTCGAGTGCAGACCCAAATACAGCACACTGAGGCAGGGAGACAGCAAAACACACACACACCAATATACAGCAGTTCTGGGGTTTGTGGGTTTAGCTTGCTTGTAGTCTCTGCGGTGAGTGAGTGACACGAGAGCAGGCAGGCAACACTCGAGAGCAGTCTGAGAGCTGGGGACTGTACTGTGAGTGCAGGTGGGTTTCTCGTGAGGCTGGTAGTGGAGTGCAGACTGAAGTAGTGAGCCGAACAAGAAGAGCTGAGGGAAGCAGGTTTGGTGTAGCAATGTGCAGCCACAGAGCAGAGCAGACGGGAACCAGGAAGGGAGCAAGCAGGACTCGGAGTTGAAGACGGAAGGTTGAGGTGATTACCAGGGCAGAGACGACAGAGGCAGGTCAGGAACAAGCAGGATCGGTACTGAGGAATCAAGCCAAGAGTGAATGCTGGAAAGTCGTAGAGCAATCTGGCACTGAGGGGAAGGCAGCACAGGTGAGTGGAGCTGGCTTAATGAGAGGGGCATGGCTGGCAGGGTACAGGTGAATAGAAATTTACCAGGAGCAGGTGAGGGAGATAAGCAGACTGTGACAGGTATTAAGAGGTCAGAGATACAGCTGGGAGAGAGACCATGAAGAGCCTTAAAAGTAATGAGTAAAATGTTAAAATCTATTCTAAAACATACTTGGACCTCCTACACCGCCACCTACAATGTTTTATCTTGGCAGTGGACGACTGACACAGGAAATGTAACACACCCGCATAAGATTAAACATTAACTTTGATTAATATGATAACAAGGTGTCACTTCTGGCACAGGATGTGGGTGCTTCATCACCTCTGCTCCTCAGTTTCCTCTGTGAAACTGATCTGTGGTCAGCAGGAATGAAAACACGTAAACTTCCCCAGTGATGTCACCAGATAAAAAACTGCTGGTCTGAACTTTGTGTCCCTTCTGTACAGGCGACCACAGCCGAGGAGGAAGATAGAGATCCCTATGAGACTTTGATGCCCAACGGCTCAGCTGCACCTCCTGTGTCTCCACACTGAACTCAGGGGCAGGCCCGTCCGCAGAAATGACCGGGCCCCTGAACAGGTCCAGCGAAAGGGCCCTCACCAGAGCTACTTATATCAATGCATGTGTGTGCTCTTTCTCCTAGTAAACACATACTGTGACGCCAGCTACCTCTTGGCTAGCTGTAACATTAGCTCTCTGGCTATCATTCACCTCTTCCCCTCTTCGTTAGCTGTAACGTTAGCTCTCTGGCTATCATTCACATTCAACCTGGCTGGGTTGTCTGAGCTGACTGAAAACAGTTAGTCACAACATTATTATTTGGGTTTAAAGGCCTTTCCAGCTCTCTTTTTCTCTGCCATAGTGAGGAAATTCACTCCAACATAAGCTAATAGTTAGTTTAGATCAGTGGTTCCCAACTGGGTCAAGATTTCTCCTTCATCATTAATTCAAAGTCCACAGATTTTAATGTCTTCAGGGCAAAGACTGTATAAAGATGGCCGACGTGTCTGGTCTCCACTTACCCCCGCTGTGCAGAAGTGACACTAAAATATCCCGGATACGACCGCTGCCATCTTGCTCTGGTGACGTCATCAGTAGAAGTAATGGGCCATTCCATATAGATCTTACTGCTAGTGAGACGGTAGGAAAGACAGGAAGCTGCACAAAATTATACAGCGACACGTCAGTCATGACACGCCTCTTGAAGGCGGTTCTACCAGTAGCAGTCTTGTATGAACTCGGAGGATTACGAGTTTCGAAAGACTGACGAAAACAAAAATGGCTGCGCCCTATTTACCATAAGTCTTCATTTTAATTACTCGTACACATTATATATGGGAATATATTATGGGAATGCTTTATGATGTGTTGTTGTGCGTGGAATGTCGTGTATGTGTTGTTTACCTGTTGGTGTTGGTGGAAGTAGCTAGCAGTGTTGCTAATAATAAAGGCTCCGCTACTGCAATAGTGACGACTGCTTTCTTGGAGGCATCCATCTTTGTTTACGTTTAGGTGGTAAATGGTACAAACGCAAACAGGAACGCATACCGGCAATTTAAACAGGAAGTTACGACATTTTACGACATCATCTTGAGTCTCACCCCTCATAGCAACGTAAATGGATCACAGCATAACCCCCACTGTGCAGAAGTGACGCTAAAATATTCCGGATACGACTGCTGCCATCTTGCTCTGGTGACGTCATTCGGAGCCACAGTACAGTAGCGTTTCCGCCAGAGCCCTTGAATAGATTGTTATATTCTACGGCACTGGTTTCCGCGATATCAAGTTTCCCGCCCATACACCCGTTCGACCAATCGCAAGCAGTGACACTGAATGTGCGCCCACTGATTGGCTCACACAGTTGTCAATCGTATTGTAGAAATCCGTGTTTATAGCATTGAATAAATAATTATAACCAAACCTATCAGAAAAACGAACGCTTGAATAAATTGCAGCGTGACTAAAGCTACCTAAAATGAAAATTATTTGACGTGTACGTCTACTTAAGTTTTTAGTTTTGCCCATGTCCCATCCACTAACATGGAGGGGCGGGGCTTATAGGTTTATGTTTTACACTTTGGGGAGCTGTCATGTCGTCCATCTTTATGTGTAGTCTATGATTAAAACTCATACTTGCATTTAGCCATGTTGTTGAGCTAGTTTTCTGTCTCTGTCAAGCAGCTGTCCATTAGTCACTCACTCTACAGCAGGAAATGGCACTTCAGAATAAAAGCTCTGTGCCGGAAATTGACTGTACTTCAAAATAAAGTGTGTTTTTAACAAATTTGACATATTTGCGAGTCATTTGTGGACCCATCAGTTGGGAACTACTGCCTTAGACCATTAGTTTAAATTTCTCGGGTCATGTGGCCAGCTGCTCTCTTTTTTCTTATTGTTGTTGTTCTTGTTTTGTTTTTTTACCAGTTGCCCAAAATGTCTTTAAAAAAAGAGTATTTTCAGGTGAGGGGGTTCTCATTATGAAACAGGCCACATTTTACTGAAGTAACAATATATACATTGTTTATTTAGGGAGAACAGGGTTGCATTCATTAGATTTCACTCCCTAGAGGGCGCTGTTAACAAATGTTGGTACTGAAATTTTCAGTATTGGGGTCAGAGGTTTAGTCAGTGGCAAAAGTCCCAGCTGGGGAAACTTTTCACATGCTTTTCAGGAGTTGGTTATCACATGTATTTTTCTTTTTAAAAAATGTACTATTAACTCTTCAATTTTGCATATACAAATCTAATAGACAAACTAGTAGCTGTATGAAGTTCTTATTAAGCACAGCAGTTGCAAACATGCTAATGCTAACAATTCCTACAGATGTGTAGCAGATATATTTACTATGCTAACTATGTTATTTAAGCTTGTTAGCATGCTAACACACTAATGCTAGGAACATTACTGATGCTGCTGAGAGGGCATCGATCAAGATGGCCTTCAAGGGGTGATCTGTGGACCACACAAGCTACATAGACACAGGCCCCAGCCTGTGGCAGAGGGGCCCCAAACACCTGATGACCCCAGGTTACATCACTGATCATGTATCTAGGTTGCAGGTTAAGGTGTGTAAAATCACATTAGGTACAGCAGATGCTGATGGGAGCGTCATTAGTTTTTAGTTGTGAATTACAATTTAGAACTCATGGTGGTCCTGTGTGATGCTGGATGCTGTCAATCATCTCACTTATGTTTCATGTGTAACTGGATGCCAATAAAAGACCAAGCACATGTCAAAACACTTGGAAAATGGTTTAATGATGTTTACAACAAAAGAGAACTGTACAGTTACAGTAAAAGATTATCTTTATATGTGTATAAAAACAAAACAAACAAAAATACAGCAGACAAATGCATCAAAATCTACTATGTATCCTGATTCACATACTTAAAAATCCTACACAATCTTTCAGTTCTACGCCACCGTGACTGGAGGCAGTTTTTTTTTTTTTTTGTTTTTTGTTTTTTTTGTTTGTTTGTTGTTTTTTTTTCCTTGTAGTCAGATCAGAGCAGTGTCCCTCAGTTTTATTGTCCGTGGTGTAAATCAGGACTCGTTACCTCAGAGTCCCAGACAGACAATTATTATCATCAGACTGCAGAATAAGAAAAAGGGAAATAAATCGGGGGACACATTCCTTTAGATGAGCCCAAGCTTTCCAACGTGAGTAGTAAATGTTTTACAGAATGCAGTTCTTGAGATACACAGACGTAATATGTACATGGTTGGCGTTTTTTTTTCTTGTTTTTTTTTTCCTCTGTTGAGGAAGCCATTGGTCACTTGGGCTGTGAACTGATAACCACACACGACACACCCAAAAACATACAAAAATACTATATCTTTAACCTACCAAGAGTAAGACAGTTCTGCAATTAGTTCCATGCTGTGACAGAAAAAAGAGATTACAACAAACAAACGAGAAACAGACGCTTTTTTTCACGCAAGTTTTTCTCAGAAATATACCAAAATATACATCTAAGCTTTGGAATTACTGAGGCTAGGACTAAAGCCAGTGCTGGGTTTGTCTCTTAATACACATGCTGCAGGGTGGAAGGGAGAGAAGTAACAGAGAAAGAGACACAGGACAGAGAGATATCTTTGGTATCTGCATTTGTCAAAAGTTAAATATTTGGATTTTTGCTTTGGGATAGCGCTTGCGAGGTCCTACAACCTCACTTGGAGTAAAGCATTAAACAAAGTGTCACTGAAGCCCGTCGGCCAGAGGTCTGAGCCGGAGGGACACAGTCCATATAGAGTGAAGGACCATGATGCATAGTGTCACAGCTGATCAGAGTCTGTAGTGAAGAGACGATGTCGAGAGGAGAGAGCAGAGGAAGGGAGAGGTGAGGAGGAGGAAGAGGAGGAGGGGCACAGCAGTGAGGTTTAGCGACCGCAGGATGTGTATTCCTGGAGACAACAGGGTAAATGTCCTGGGACTATACAGTGTACAGATGAGGAGGAAGAGACAGACACACTGTGAGAGGCAGGAACAGCATTTTCACCACAGTCCTTGAGAGAGCGGAAGAGTGGAGAGGGGAGGGGAAAGTAGGGGAGGGGGGGACATCCTAGCAACAGCGCTCAAGACAGACAAAACATACAGAGTCCTGAGCATGTACAGTGTGCACAGGATTAACCCTCAGTGTGTATTAACAAACATCACCCAGCTACCACCAGATTGGTTCGTGTCTGTCGGAGAAGCCCGCTCAGCCCCCTGGTCAACCCCCACCCCTCCTCTCCAATCCCCGCCCACAGGCACTGAAACCGCCGCGCCGACAGGACGCCGGAGTGTAGTCCGGGGCGGATACACATTCGCATGCAATAAAAAGCAAAGAAAAACTCTTTACAGATGAATCTGGGGGGACTCGGGTGAGAGCGTGCAGCCCGGGATTTGATGCTGAGCAGTGAGGCGGGGATGGGCCGAGAGACGGGTGTCGTTTCGTATACAATCAAGTTAGAAGTCTTTGGTTAATGTTGGTACCACAGGAAAGCAAGAGCGGGCTGCGACAGCGCACCGTCACGTGGGAAGACGCGTACATACCTGCACCGAGTCAGTGAAAATAAAAATAGGATTGTCAAACTTAAAAGTGTTCAAACATGGAGATTTTATCTATTTATACAAATAAGTAACTTTTAAATGAAAGTAAAGGGAATACACAAGAAAATCTCAAGTTACAACAAATCATTTCTGTTAATGCTGAAAAACAGTGCAGCATAAAAACATCAAACTGTGAAGGAAATAAAAAACAGCAGACATTCATGAGCACTGGTATGTATTCTGTCTCCCCCTAGTGGCGGCTTCTGCCACAACCCTTCACTAAGTACAGGTATGAACGGGCTTCCCCCACTGACACAAGTTTGTGTATTTTCTTTTTTTTTTGTGATTTTTTAAAATATTTTTTATCTCATAAGTAGATTAAAGCAGGTTTCACTCAGTCTTGAGTTAGAAATGAGGTATACAACAGCTCCTTTTGCCTTAACTGATGCTCCACACTTTGTCAACATTACAAAAACCAGCAAACCAGTGTGGTGGGTCGACAAAACTACAACTCGATGCATGGCAGATCCACAAGAGCATCTTGAAAAAATCTCCGGATCACATAATTGAACTAAAGCGTTAAAGCAAAGCCAGATCGTCATCAGTTGACAGTTAGGATCATTAGTAGAGATCAAACAGTCGTACTTTGACCACAAACTGTACATTTTAGTTTATAAACCATAAACTGGCTTACTTTAAAGGGATAGTCCAGCATTTTTTAAGTGGGATTGAATGAGGTAATCATTCATAGTCAGTGTGTTAACTACAGTAAATGTCAGTCAACACGCCCTCAGTTTGGAGAAGCAGGCAGGAGTCTTGACACAAGAGTGAAGCAATGTGCTGCTGCGGACGGAGGCAGCAGCAAAATGTATTTTAGCCACCGAAAATACAAAAATCTAATTTCAATTTAAGTGTGTGCTATATTTAGAATATTTTCACCCCTTTACCTTGCCATCAGATGCAATTTCTGATGGGGAATTAAGCAGTTACATCGCTCTCATCACAACCAGACTCCATTGAGAAAAAAGCGATTTTACTTAACTGAATACAGGAGCTGCTGGTCTACTGCTGCCTCAATCAGCAAGTTTATTTTTGTTATTTTGTGACTTTGGGGTTTAAAACAGTTAGTTCAGATTCACCAAAGTCACCCAAACCCAACCCAAAGTAACTAACCGATTGAGGCAATGATTGATCAGCAGCTCCTGTGATCAGCAAGCTAAAATTACTGTTTTTCTCAGTGGGGTTTGGTGGCTTTGACGAGTGCATGATGGGGAACTGAAGCTAAAGGCATCCCTGTTGGAAAGGTTTTTCTGCAGCAAGGTAAAGCTGTGAAAACGCACTCAAAATAATATTTGAAGAGAGAGTTATATCGCTCTCTTCAAAGCCAGACTCCATTGAGAAAACCAGTGATTTTACCTTACTGTACACAGGAGCCGCTGGTTTACCGCTGCCTCAATCAGCAAGTTTATTTGTGTTATTGTGCAACTTTGGCTTTTAAAACAGTTAGTTCAGATTCACTGAAGTCGCACAAGAACACAAAATAAACTAACTGAGGCAATGATTGACCAGCAGCTCCTGTGTTTAGCGAGCTAAAATTAGTGTTTTTCTCAGTGGAGTTTGGTGGTTTTGACGAGTGCAAGGTAAAGCTATGAAAATACACTCAAAATAATATACACTTAAATTGATACCAATATTTTTAGATGGCTTAAATAGGTTTTGTCGCTGTCCTCCATCCAAAGCAGTGCATTATTGAACTTTTGCCTGCTGCCTGATGTCTACCGCAGGTGAGTATAGCTAAGTACCTCATACAATCCCACTTTTAAAAATCTAAACTATCCCTTAAAAGCTTTAGTTAATCAGTAGAGACTCCCCTCTGGACAAAAAAAAAACAAAACAAAAATCAGTACTCTCATGTCTCACCATTAAAAATAAAAATCACTCAAACACCCGCTGGAAGATGGAAAAAAGATGCACCATAATGGTTTGCAGACTGCCCTCCCTATTCGCTCTTTATAAGACACTCACACACTCACACACACATCCACCTGCTGGAATTATTAGTAAAGCTTTTCTCACAGGTATTCTCAACCTGTCTGAGTCACACCTAAAAAACATAGGTAGCAACATAATCATCCCACGCTCCAAAATGCCCAGAGTGCACTGTTTTGTTTCAGTGAAAACAATGCACCAGGTGAGCTCAAGCTCTCCCCGACACACACATACACACATCCACACACACACACGCACGACAATGCTACAATGCTCATGTCTTCTACGTAACAATAAGGCATAAATGATAATGTTAATCTTCTTTGTCAAACTAAGAAAGCCAGTGATCTTGCCCTCTCACACTATACAAAACAATTAAAGGCATAAAGTAATATTATAAAAAAAAAAAATCAAATGATTGTTAAAGACAGCACAACAAATCAAGTCCACAACGACTCAACCCAAAAAAAACAACTATTAAAAAGATTAAGATCAGATGCTTCAGGGTCAGGAGTGCCAGAACGAACACTTCCTGTCGAAAAGACCTCGCAGATACACGACAGACGCGGGTGTCAGCGACTCACGCACCATCACAGAGGCGTGGTCTCGGATTTCTTATCCTATTTTTTGGTCATGTCATTTTTCAAAAACAAACAAAAAAGAAAAATTGCGATAATAAAAAGGAAGATTTCGGGGAGTTTTTTCTTTTTCCGAGTAAGCATGATAAACACTACATTCAGTCTTGATAACATACTGGTTCAAATATAAAATATGAATATCTTACACGTGTTTATATATATATTTATATGTATAGAATTAAGAAAAGATCGTTTCTCTAATTCTTAAGTCTTTCCTCAGATAAATATTTCAGTAACATCCTATGGTGCCGACGGCAACTGGTTCATCTCGCCAACACATGTTCAACTCTTTAGTAACTACAAACAGCACTGGAACAGGACTGAGTCCTTGAGGCCCGCTGTGGCCTTTAGAGACGGGGAAACCAGCAACGTGAGCAGCCAGACACCCGCCAATAGCTGCAAAGAGAAAGGCTTTTACTTTGGCAAGAAGGATTTTCAAAATAATATTCAAACCTGGAAATACCCCATAGATAGTAGTACTAGAAAATAGCAGTAGTAGGTTGTCCTTTTATGTGTGGTTCCTAAGTATGGTTCATCAGTATAAACTTTGAATGGCGAGCCAGACAGTACTTATACATTCTACACTGTTCTATACACAGAAATGCCTAAAGGTGAACCTTATGTTTAAGTGCTGCTGAGGTATATTCAGTCAAAATAATTCAAACGACAGAAAAGAAGTACACAAGAGGATAACATGGACAGATTTCACTGCTTACAGTCTCAGCGATTTCACCATCACTGTTCGTTTTGTTGTTTGGAAGCAGCAGAACAAAGCTACTTTTCATGTGGGGTTTGGTTGAATGTGTCGCACATGACAGCCCAGCGCTGCATTGGGTAAGATAATTTGGCAGGTTTTAAAACTAGTCCACGGACAGATTTGGGGAGCAGCAGCACATTGTGTCATAGCATGCTGGTTCAAAATGGCGGCGCTGAGCGGAGGTGCGGTGTGTTATCTGATGATACGATCTATGCATTTACACAAGTGAGCCCTCCAGACAGGAGGGTTGAAACCACAGAACCTGATTTTCACAGGGTGCAGTCATAAAGCTATAGGAAAGCATGCAGGCCTCTCAACAGCTCCACTCCACCAGGAGTTTCAGCAGCAAGTTGTTAAAGCTAAAGTTTCTGTGATCCTTATCCAGCAGCACCAAATCAGGAATATCCGGTATTGACCGAGGTGGGAGAGGAGGAAAACAATTTGTCAGCAGTGTGGCGAGTACAGATCGTGTGAACGGCGTGCTCGGACAGGCACAGCAACTACTGAGGAAAACCACTTTGGTTCAAGCTGTTGTTTTATGGCTGAATATTAGTACAAAACCAAAAAACAGAACCTTTCTATTATGCTTCAGAAAAGTCCAAAACTGCTACCAAAACGGCCAAAACAGATGAAAAGGAAAACAAGCCATCACATGGCTCAAAGGAAACCAGGATCAGGCGTTAGGGGGGCGAGGCCCCGGTGATAAAAACCAATTCAAAACAAGTAAAAGGAAACTACTCTCTCGTGCCCCAACCCGCCAATCCCTCTTTTTGGTCAGTTGTGCTGCCAATTAAAAAGTCGAGCGATGAGACACTTTTATCAAATCAAAAAAGAAAAAGTTCATCTTTGGAAAATGATCATCAAAATATTGCATTTCTATATTCTGTTGACAATGAAGAGAGATTCTGTACTCATAAATATATCGACTAGACTAAGCTACACCGACTACACACAGCAATTATTTTAACAAATATTTTTGGTATATCTTAAAGTACGTAAGCCAGTCGAATGACTGCAGACAAAAAAAAAAAAAAAAAAAGACAGAATTTCATTCCTCCCAAAACAGGCAGACTGCAGCTCATCAATCCAGTTTTTTGGTACAGATACTGTGCACAAGTAGATACGACGGTACTACTATTAAAAAAAAAAGAAAAAGAAAACATAAACACAATACAATAACCCCATCTAGCCAACGCCACCATACGTCTGGGGTATGATGACCATGCCCCCTCACGAGCCCTCCCCCAAAACAGACCAGTCAGCCACAGAGCCACGTGGATCATGCAGTTACTGAACTCTCAGCACCTGCCTGAGCTGTAGACAACACATGCAGACTTCTATTTTCTACCTCTGAATCCAAAACGTAATGTACAGTTTTCCAATGGACCACCATCCAAAACAAATCAGCCTCAGTCAGACATGGGGCTGCATGTCTGCAGCTCTTTTTTAAAGCTCTCAACGCAATGTTTTCAGTCATTTTCTATCAGTGTCAATAATCCGCACCCAGACCGGCATTTTACAAAAGCTCAGGGGCGACAGTGCCACCGCAGCAGAATGTAAAACTCAGTGTTTCCAGAAAGAGAGACCCAGAGAGACACAACTCTCTGACCCTTAAAGCAATGATAACCTTTATATCGGCCACTTATTACTTGTTTTTAAAGCCTTATAACCACGATTAAAAAGTGATAGTTAAATCTTAACTTAATATTAGACTTACAAAGTTCTGAAAATGTCAAAAAATAGACAGCAAAGATAAAGAAAAAATCTACAATATAACTTTGATATGATTTACGTCAAGGCCTGTCCAAAAAACCCAAGAGAGATAATTAAAGATGGGGTGACACACAAATCCCCATTAGTGATGATGAATATTGTGAAATTAGTAGTAAATCAGTTTAGTTTGAATGTTAAAAGAGCAAAAATCCTAAGGTTTTTGGTTAGAAGTATTTCAGAGAAAATTCTGACCTGGAAATAGGAGGATATATATATAGATATATATATATAGATATATACAAAATGTGAACAGCTTGATGGTGCCGAGGACATTTTCTTCCTGGACACTTTTCAAGGTTCATGAGGAGCGGCAGGCCAACAACAGTGTCCATCTGGCTACTGTTTGTGGGGAAAAAAAACATCCAAGAATCATAAAGGAGAAGACAGGAAACAAAACTAAAAACTAAAAAGTCAACCTCAACCTCATTTGAGGTCATTTTCTTTTTGGTGGCAGCAAAAGGATTAAATAATGATAGATACAATGGAAAGAATGTAGGGTGGTTAGTGAAGCGCAGAGCCTATAATCGAACGCCCTCCCTATTCCCTACGTGGTGTGAAAGGAGTAGTGCACGACGTAGGAAATAGGGCGTTCGTTCAGGACGCAGCCTGACTGGCTTCACTGAGCCTTGGAGGCAGTGGTAATGGTCGAGGCTTGCACAGGCACAGCAGCCGCGGTGGCTTGATGATGAGCATCAGCGGTGACCTGCAGCCCCCCCGTCCCGGCCGACACCAGGCTGACAGGGTTGAGCAGCGACAGGTTTGGGGGGTTCAAGAAGAGCGACGTTGGCACCAGGTTGGGCGTGCTACCGGCAGAGGTGTTAGCGAACAGCAGGTTTCCGCCATCCAGAGAGGTGATGGGGATTGTGCCGCCCGATGCCAGAGCTGTGGAGACAGAACAGTTGGCGTGTTTAGACGGAATGTTTTGATGTAATGAGGACTGACAGCTCCGCCCTCAGAAATGACTGGACCTGAGAAGTACCAGTGAATGGACCCTCCTCAGCTTTACTCAGATCAACACGTGTGTCTACTCCGTCTCTTCTAGTTTAAATCAGTAGGTTTCTCAGGTAAAAAGGCTGGGCGTCACAGTTGTGTGTACATTTAAATTGACTCAGGAGAGGGAACAGGCTACATTTTACTAAAGCAACAACAAATACAATGTTTACTTTTGCTGTTTTATACTAAAGACTAATTATTTCGGTTTAATAAATTGTGGTTATTACTGCTTTCATTTAGGATGAACAAGATTATTACCAGCCTCCGTAGCAGCTGGGCCCCAAAAAACGCCCCCCTTTTGTTCCCCCTATGTGCAGCCCTGCTTATGAGTCAAAAACTAGACACATAAAAATAATTAAACTGACTTAAAACTGATTCACCGCAGGACTTCTCTTTCTGCAGGACTTGTTATTTCATCATCAAACTGTATCGTCGCTCAGGAGGATTAATGAAGTAATTTTCTCTCAGCACGATTAACCTTAATGGGTGTGGCGTGCATAATGTTTCCTTAATATGCAAATACAGTGCAGCCTCATTAAATTTTTGCTTTAATTATACAAATTATTTGAACAATGGGTTATCTTCATAAACACACTATGAATTTTAATAATGTCTTTTTTAAGGTAATTTCCTTTGTACATGCAATGGATGTTATTTTTGTTCATTTACGACTCAATTTATTTGGCCATTTTATTTATGAATTAATTAATTCGTCTATTTCCTAATAAGTCAGGTTTGGTCCTCCATACAAAAGCTTTTTAAACCTGGGCTGCAGGCCAGTAGGAAACTATATAATTATATTCATTTTATTCTTATTCTTGGTGATGTGATTAGGATATTTTTCTGGGATGTCACTTGTTTGTACCTTTTAGCTTTGCACCGTGTACAGCTGTAGCTTTTAAAATATTTTATTGTACTGGTACAATGACAATAAAGGACTTCTATTCTACTTTTGTGGTAAAATACTCTTGAACTTATCACATTATGTACTGCATTTTTCCTCGTCACTTCATGTCACGCTACTAACGATTAAACTGGCTTTTAATTGAACAGCATTTAGCAGTTCATACAATCTGTGTGAGAACATCACCTTGGTGTAGCTGAGAAGCTATCTGTGTTCTTTAAATGTAACCCTCTAAAACTGAGCGTAACATTAAATAACTTTAGAGCCGTTCATGATGAGAGAGACGAGCTTTAAATTGTGTCTAACCTGTCAGACTCTGAGCTTTCAGAGGCACTTTGAATGGTGACAATCAGCGTTTCAACCACAGCAGGCAGCCGTTTCTAGTGATAATGTTTTCAGTTTTATTATGTAAATAGTTTGCAATTTGAAAGTTTCACACAAGCGTGCAAGTGTGTGTGTGTGTGTTTTGAGTTTTCAGTGTGGAATACATTTTTTTTTTCTGTTTTGAAAATGTAAATCAACTGCAGTCTTCCATATATCAACAGACGAAGTTTTCTATTTTTCAGTTATGTGTAAAACTTAACATATTTATTCTCAGAATTGAATGAAAGTATTGTTTTAATTGTCACATCGTCTACTAAAAAAATGCCCCGGACAATATCTAATAAATGTCTGTGACCCACTGAGGAGAGGGTGTATTTGCACCAAACGAACAAAAAACAAAGTTCCCGGTTGACTACGAAACAAAACACTTTTATTCCCCAATGGGTAATTTGTTTTGAATGTCAAATATGATGGTGATAGGCCTGTCATGATACCTACTTTTGTTTGACGACTTAATGTCACAAAAATAATCACGACAAACAATATCATTATTATTTAGTGATTATTTTACGCCACTGATATAATGATAATATTATAGTCAAATAATGCAAGTGCAACCTTTCAAAGAACAATTAACTGTTAATTCTTAGAAAACAGGATTATGAAAAAAATATTTAACATATTTTAAAAAGTAAGTAACCCATGTTAATATGAAATTATCATACCTTCGACTTATATCGAAGTCAGCAAAATGATCGAGGTCATGTCCATATACCGTACGATAAGCTGATAACGTAATTATCGTGACAGGCCTATATGGTGACTTTACACTACACCAGAGGGAGAGGGTAGTTTCCCTAAATCTTAATATGTATAACACTCGACACTGACTGAAAGAATAAGCTCAAAATTTGTAAATATTTCACTGCACTATGTCCACACGTCTCAGTGTCTGTGTGGGCTTTAGGGGTTTTTAAAAAGTAACCGTTATGACACCCTGTTAGTTTTGGCATCTAGTTCAGTTTTTATGCTTGCCCACTCTCTCGTCTTTTCAGTCTCTGTAAAGCAAGTGTTTAATATACATTCATTGGTACACACCTTGGATGGTAGCTAAGGTGCTGTTGCTCATGAGGGCAGGACTCAGCGCACTGCCAAGGCCACCAGGAGTCAGACTGAGGGCCAGGGCACCCCTGGGAACACAGACACACAGACAAGATCACTTAGATCAATACGGAGTACACCTGGAAACTTGAAGGATCAAGTAAATGTAATAATTAGAGGCCTTGATTGAACATAACCAATACTAACCCTGGAGCGAACTGGGACGAGGCCATCAGTCCGGGGTTGAGCCCAGCAGCAGCAGCCATAGCAGCAAAGCTGGCACTGGTGGGTAACTGGGCACCCTGCAGCGCCGCAGACAGCCCTGGAGACGCCACCATCACCTGACCTGTCCCTAAAGTGGTGGCTATGGATGTCGGGGCCTGGGTGACTATGGTTTGCGCCTGAGTGCCAATTTTGCTCTCCGTGGTCGTGGACTGAACAGGTGACGGGCTTAAAGATGGAGAGCTGGCTGTAGTAATCAAAGGTGCAGCAGAGATGACGGATGCAGTGTTTGTGGCTCCAACTGTTGTGCCTTTGAGGAAGGGGCAGGGAGGAAACATAAGTTAACATTAAATTTTAACATGACGTGTGATTGGATATTCACTTTCATCATGGCAAACACATGTCATACACACCTGTGAAAGACAAACTGGAGACACTGGTGCTGGTGAGAGGCATCACTGGGTTTACAGTCAGAGTGGTGGGTGTGTTAATAGTTGGGCTGCTCACAAGGCTTGCTGTGCTGGCCACCTGCTCAACAGAATCAGAGGGAGGACTGAATGAGCTACTGTGTTAAGCCCCTTTTACACTGCCTGTTCAAGGCGGGAACGACGCGTGGTTATTCCACCTCATCGTAATGCATAAAAGGTGAAATGGCGGGACAGAGTTGTTTCACCTTTAGGCCAGCAGAAGACGCAATAAAGAGCCGAAATGATGTTTGTGTAAAAGGGACAGTTGATAGGATGGCACGGGTGTGACATTTTGAAGACGTAATGTTCGCAACCCGCCGCTGGGAGATTTAAAAAACAGCTGATAGCAGTTAGCAGCTAACCCAAAGACAAATAGCAACTGAAAATGTCTGTAAATTAGGGAGATAGTGACGTCCAGGAGCTCCTTAGCCTCAGAGCAGAGGACAAGATCAACTGCCATATAACATTGACATGTTATGCCATAGTTATTGTTTAAAATACACCGAGGAAACGTATGTTATTTGTCGCACTAGAGGCCGATGGTGTTGCGTTACACAACGCTTCTGTCACGCTCCATTTGCCTCTGGAATGCCGGCATGCTATCTACAATCACACACTGGGACGACCTTATGCCTGCATTGATTGTTTCTGTATTAAAAAAGCAATGAAGGGTCTTCCCTGCTGCCCTATCATGGGATCTTTGTGTAAAACAGGCTGCTACAAACAAATACCGTTTAACAAACCTTTTGGCGTTGTAGCTAATTCCAGAGAACAAGGAAGAAAATCCACCTTCTGATAAATTTTCAAATAAAAGTGTAGCTGATCCTCAAATTGATGGAAGAACAGAACAAGTTATCTAAATCAAGAAAACAATTGTTGAAGTATCATTTTCATGTGAGTGTGTCCATCTTTACCAATGGGCTACTGGGGGTGAAGATGGTTTTGATGGGGGTGTTGCCTCCTCCGCTGTTGCCGCTGCTGGGGGGGTTAATCCTCTTCTCTTTCTGCCGACGATTGCAGAACCAGACCCGAATCACCTCCTTCTCCATGTTGAGCTGGTCAGCGATCATGGTGATCTCTTCAGAGGTAGGTTTTTGGTTCTGCTTGAAGAGGGCAAAAAAGCCAGGGATTCCCTGTGAGCACTGATGAACTTTGAAATGTGACAATTTTATACTTTTTACTAGCTAAAACACTTAATGCTCAAACTCAATTCCCCTGCTTGGATCGACATTGTTAACTTCAGGAATATGAGTTTCTAACCTCCAGAAAGCTCTTTTCTAAGGCCACTCGGATGTTGGTCTCAATACTGGTCCTCTTCTTCCGTCTGCGGTTGATCCCCTCTATGCCCATGCCCGGGGAGCCCAGGGCACTGGGGCTGGACAGGGCCTGGTCAGATGTCAGGTTCTCTGCACAAACAGCACCGACACAAAGAAAGAGAAGGAAGGTAAAGACGGGACCTCAAAGATACACCACCCACGCTGTCCTTTGCCCGTTACACGAGACCAATACTGATGTGATGAAATCAAAGAATACATGTGATCAAAGCGTTCTCGCCCTCATTCAGGTGGGTTCAGGGACAAACCTGCATCGTTGAGCCACTTCTCCAGCAATGGCTTGAGTTTGCACATGTTCTTAAAGCTCAGATTCAAGGCCTCAAAGCGAGAGATGGTAGTTTGGCTGAAGTCGTTTCCGTACAGCTTCCCCATGGCCAGGCCAACATCCCCCTGGTGAGAAGGACACAGAGAGAGAAACATGAAACAGGGAAGCACCAGCATCACAATGAATTTAACCTGCAGCACTGCCTCAATTATGATACGTACAATACAGTGTAATTACAGATCCAACAATCACTGAACCTGTGTGGATCAATCAGTCTATTCAGTCTTACACACCTGTGTGAAGCCCAGTTTGATACGCCTCTGTTTGAAGGTCTTGGCAAACTGTTCCAGTTCCTCCAGATCGCTAGGCTCCTCCATAGTGGGGGTATCCAACCGTTTGGGTGGTGTCTGACTGTGGGGCAGGGACTGAATAGGTGTGGCTGCTGTTGTGCGAGTTGGAGTGGCAGGCTGCTGAGAAAAACAAAAAGTAAAGGTTAAGAAGAGTCCGAAAAAGGAAAATATAGAAGAATGTATCAAGCAAACATATAAAAGTTGGCCTTGTGTAAGCACCGACAGGAAAACTATATTTCAAAGTTTAAAATATGAGTTTGCATAGTTACGAACCTGAGTTGCAAGGGTAATGCTTGGTTGAGTCGGCAGGAGGTTAGCTTGGCTTTGAGGTAGTTGAGTTAGAAGACCCTGGGCTTGCAATATGCCTACAGAGTGAAAGACATAGGAGTCAAGATAAAACAAGAACAACTTTATAAGAATCAGAGACTTGAAATATGTATAGATATCTTTTCTTAATTTTGCATGCAAATCAAACACTGCAAGTGTCTTCCTCACCCTGCTGGGCCTGCGGTGTCTGTGAGATGATGAACTGAGCGGGCTGCAGTTGTGTGGCGATCGGGTGGCCGGGCTGCACCAGCACAAACTGAGGCAGACTTAGATTCTGGGGCTGTAACTGCTGCGAGAAAAAAACAGTTATCATTTAATTCATGTTCAGAAAGTAAACATTGTTGACACCACACAGCTCCACAGCATTGTAACAATGACCGCACACATTCAATGTTTTGCACCATTACAACAGCAATTTGTATTTAGTCATTTGCAGCAGCATAGTTCAGTGTCGTTACATAAATTCTTGTGGAGGAGTTATTTAATTAAAGAAACGATCCTCAGGTGCTCTGCTGTCTCCTGGTCAGAGCCATCACACAGTCAGCACTGTTATTTTTGTGGCAGTCTGTCTAGTCTGACACCGAACATGAGTTATTTATGTTTTACTCTTATGTCCATATTACCCACATTTCAGTTAGTGAACAGCTGCTGCATTTATCTCCAGACAAAAGGTGTCCACAGGTATTAGACACCTAGACTTAATGCTTTTTTTTTTTTTTTTTTTAAGACCTTTCAATTTTTTTCAAACCAAATTTAAGACTGATTTTTGGACAGGAACAAGCAGGTACGTACAAAGGTAAGTAGTCCATATGTGTATTTTTAACATCAGAAACGGAAGAAGTGGACTTTGACACAGAAGAGCTTGACTCATTACACAAAAAGAAACTGAGAGGTGGATTAGGAACGTCAGTTTCAGTTCAATTTTGCTTTCAATAGTCCAACACCCATTCACCGGGAACTAACTGGTTATCTTTTAAACAAGAGGAGAACAAGAACAAGAAAATGACAAGAGGCCTTTCCTTTTGGTCCGGCACTCCACTGACTCAATGAGCTTTAGGGCGACATTTCAAACACTATCCATGTAAAGGTGGGGAAATGTTAGTGTTTTGTGTTGTATATGTGCTGCCCTGTATTTTATTTTCTGTATCTTTGCTGACAGAAAGCCGACTAGCCACTTTAACACGTGGAAACATAGCTCATACTGGCCACCCTCCATTCTCTAGTCTTATATTGCTTTGGAAACAAATTTTGGACATTATTCCACTGAAACAAAATGCAACTATCTAAATTAAACAGTGAGCGTCATTCACAACCTTCCAGGGCTGCGAGTTTATTTACAGTAAGTGTTGTTTAAATATTATCTTGAAGGACTTGCAGAAATGCTGTTGAATGGGTGATTGTATCTTACGGAGGCGATCTGGATGGGCTGCGACAGGGGGAGCTGGGTGATGGGTGTGGCTGCGGAGGCCGAGATGCTGGCCCCAGTGGTGCTGTTCTGCTGGCTGGCTGAATGCTGCACGGCTGCAGCCAGGAGTTGGGCTTGGGCCTGCTGGATCAACAGCTGCTGATGCGCTGGGGTCAGGGTCAACTGGAGGGCCGAAAGACAGAGACACAGACAAAGGTGGACGAGACAGACGGAGACAGACAGAGGGACACAGTGATGATGGGAGGTCAGAGAGAGAGGGGGGAACAAAGATGAAGAAAGTGAGTAGCGTTTAGGCAAATCAGCTTTTGTGTTATATCATCGCGATCGGATGAGCTAGTGTTGTCACGATACTTTAGTTTTGGCTCCAATACCCATGAAAAGTTCAGTAAACAAGACGACTACAAAACCACAGCAGGATATTATAAAAAAGGGAAATTTTACACACTAGTCTTGACATGTTGGCTAGGATTCTGTCTTCATTAAAGGAATACTTCACCCCCAAAATGATCATTTGTATATCAATAACTCAGCCCTTATGACCTTAAATTCATGAGGAAAACTTTTTCTCGCACGCCTCCACGTGAACAAAGGAAGGAACAAAGGAAGTAAGGGGGACCTGGTTTAACAACAGCAAAACTACATCAGGACATCTGTTTAGAAACTCTCACATAACTTGTGCAGTATAATCCAAGTCTTATTTATCCAGTCGTATGCTCAGTAATTTAAAACTTGCTCATTTCATTGGCCAGGAATTCTGCTGTCGCTCACCCACACCTGTCACTTCCTGGCAAATAAATGAGCTAGGAGGCCGAATTTTTAAGGCAATGCACAAGCAGAAGACAAATGCACATGCTTGCAAAATTGCAGGTGTTGTGTTGTAACATAAATGTTGGTGATTGCTATCAAAAGGAAACTCTGTAATCTTGCATTTATTGCTGCAAAAAAATGTATTGCTGTTGGCTGGAGGGCCTAACACTTCCTCAGTGGAGTCAGAGATGTCAAGTTATGTCCCACATGATTATTTATTCTTTTAAATCAAAAGAAGGCTGGACATTTATGATAAAATATGGACACCATATGTGAACTTCATTGATAACCTGTAGGTCTTTTATTTGAATACCCATTTCCTTTTTGTTCTCCTTTCTTTCCAACTGTAATATTTATTCCATTTTTTGTTTGCTTTGTTTGTTAAATCTGTAGCTGTACTCTTAGCATTGTTTTGTGTCCTGTTTGCCTTGTCCGGTCTGCTTAAGTGTATTCCATGTCCAGATAAAGAATAAACATTAATTGTTAAAACAGGAGGAACATTCTCATTTTTTGAGTGAGTTTGGTAGTTTTATTTTTTGTTTGTATTATTTTTCCTTTTTTGTTTTGTGAAAATGCAACAACTGTATGTGGACTTCTATTGTATATTATATGAGCGTAAAATGTTGTATTTCATGTTGTCAAACATTAAAAATATTGCATGTGTTTGGGAACTGGATACATAAGACTTGGATTGTCCTGTATGAGTTGTGTAAGAGTGTGAGTGTTTTGAGATAGTTCTGCTGTAGTTAAATGTGGACCCCATTTACTTCAATTTATCGAGAATATTCTCAGTTATTGGATTCTTTAATAACTGTGGAGGCATGCAAGAAAACCAAAGTTTTCTTCACAATCTCAGCGTAAGACGGGATGAGAAGCTGACATACAAATGATCATTTATGGGGTGCAGTGTTCCTTTAAGTGCAGTAAAATAAAAACTTAATTTACCCAGACTATGCTCCAGTTTTGTCAACAACAGGTATTATCCGATGCTGTTGCCAACAGTCGTTTAAATGGCTGCTCCAGTTTACTGTCATGAACTAGACTGCAGCTCTGTCTACTGATTTCACCTTTACTTCATTATTCAGATTTGTATGAACACACCCTTAAATGGATTCACCATCATGCTGATGACATTAGCTCAACATGCAGACTGTTAATCTACATTTTTACATTGACTGAAACTTTACAGAAAGGTATCAGAGTCACATTGAAACTGTTGCTATCGTGGCAACACTAACATGAGCTCAGACAGGCAAATGGAGAGAAGACTCATGCAGCTGAGCAAAGTGCAAATGAGCATGTTGATGTCATGTTCAAACTCAAATCTACATGCACAGTAAACATTCACCCCCGCATAGCATAATAGCAGTCGGTCTTCTCATCTACAGTGTGACCTCAGGGAGAACATGGATGGATATGAAAGGCGCCGTGTGGTTGGCCTGACTGTGAGTGTACAGACACATCAAGGCTATGTCCAAACCAATCCCTCCATTTTCTGTAATGGAAGAATTTTGGACATAGCCTAACAACCACGGGAATGAACAGGCAGACATTAGACACCGGCAGCCACAGAATCAGGGCAAGCGATCATGTCATCACCCAATCTCTCAGCCAGGGTTGATCATGTTGAGGTGTCACCCCCGATGCATGGCTACGACTAGGTTTTTAATTCAAAGCAATGAGGCAACAGGCCACTTACTCCTGCAATCTGTCCCCCGGCCAACATTAGCTGGGTTTGAGGCAATACGCTCTGCTGGACGGAGGTCGGAAGAGCGTTCGAGTCTTCCGACTTAGACTAGTGGAGGTGAAGCAAAGAGGGAGGCTTAGAGGAAATCTTCCTACAGGTGTTACCTGAGCATTGTTGACAGCATAAAGTAAGCCTAAATAAGTGCCTTCATTGTTGTTATAACAAAATCTGAAAATATTTTAATTGAAAGCAATGTGAAAGGATGTTTAATTCAGTCTAAATAAAATCAGCATAACACTAAAAATACAACAAAACATGAAATCTCTGTGCTACCTGAGCGGCTCTCTGAGAATGAGCCTTTAGTCTCTGAGCAGGGAGAGGAATTTGAATTAAAAAGGAAGTGAGAAAGTGGGTATTTAAATGTGCTGCAGCCTTCAGAGACATGGAAAGTGAATGGAAAGGGAGGGGAGAGTTGAGATGCTAATTAAAATAACTGTTATGCAGTGCATGTAAATTCTGCATAGATTTGCATATTCTCGGCCATCTGTTTCCGAGCAACCGCAGAGCAGCTAATTACCATACAGGGTTGATTAATCTGCCGTGTTGCCAGGCGACACAAGGAGAGCCTGGCTCATTTAAATGAACTCTTTCTGCTTGTGTGAGTGCAGATGAGCAGACCTCTGTGCAAACTTCAGACCTTATTGCATTGTAACACTACAATTAGGACATGTCACTACACCTAAAAAACATCAGTTAGACATCTGCTCCTTGTGAAGAAACATGACAACATAAAAGTTACGTGAGGTTAAGTGAAGTGTGATGGTGTGCAGCATGTGTTACCTGTTGGAGGAGGGCTTGTGCGTGTGCATTAGTGATTGCACTTGTGGTTGGCACTGTCTGCCTCTGAAAGTCCAACCCATTGGTTTGGATTCCTGAGGACAAAAATAAAGTTAATGCAACGTCCTGTCAGAAGAATATTGTGGTTTAACTGGCAATATAATCTATGTTATTGGTTCAACACAAAAATGAGGAACACGATACTGAAAGCCCACAGAAAACCTGTAGAAGCATACTTAAGGAAAACAAACTGCTGTCAGGTGCAAGGAAACATATTTTTAAAGAGTGACAGCATGCGTAACTGTGATGGTGATCCACAGTCGTTACACAGCTGCATAAATCTGTTTAAATGCGGGCTGGTGAATCATCACTGAATTAAATATTAACACCATGGGCTTCCACAAAAAATTGCAAGCATTAATATTTACTTAATTCAGCTTTACACAATAGGAATATAAAGACTGAATCTACGATGTTGGATATTTCATATCAGAGAATCACAGAAGCACAAATTAGTGTTGTATTCACTAAGCACAAGTGAGGGAAACTGCTCTGTGAGGTAAACACTTCATTTGACAAAGACGCCTGCTAACAAGGATTTCGGAAAGCAGCCGTGTCTTTTTTAATGAGACGATGATACAAAAGGTGGACAGTAGTGTGCTGTTTCTGATTTGCGCTATAAAAAATGTTCATTTTTTGGCTATTAATTTGAAACCTGTTGAATGAGAAGGCAAAACTTGACACATTCCTGATTTCAATTCCAGTTAACAAAATGGAAAAAAAAATCTGGAGGTCACTCACCGGTGTTCCCGTCACCACTTTCCATTGCACATTTAGTAGTCTCTGACTGATTATTCACTTTAGCATCTGGAAGAGCCAGACAGAGACAGATAGTGAGACAAACTCACACCCGCTGCCGGTAAAAAAAAAAAAACACACCACACTGCCTCAATGATGTGAAGAGCGCTCTCACTTTTGTCACCTGTATCCTATAATTGCATGACAATTCTTTCCTGCAGCAACACTCTGTCATACTCACCACTCAAAGTGGGAAACAACACTGCTCGGCAAAATCAGCCACTCAAATCAACTGCGTTTACAGTGAGACTGACATAATAACTGATGTCACGTTCACACAATCAACTCTTATAAGTGACATTTTACCTCAAAAGCATGCCATCAGCATCAACATATCGCATGTCACACATGGACGCCGAGCAACAACAGCTGAGCTCCGCCACAACCTCATCACAAACTCACCCGCTCTTGCTCCACCTGTGTTTTCCAGCATGGTTGCAGAACCTATCATGGAAAACTGCCTCTGCCGGGCAAACCCTCCGACAGGGCGTCTGGCTCTCTGTTCCTCCTCCCACTCCTCCCTCTCTTCACTCTCCACTGGTCAGCAGCGAGCAGAGTTCAATACAGCTAGAGCTACACACAGACACAGTGGCACTGTCCGCCGCACGGTTCACTGAGCAACACTGGGATACGCACACTGGGAAAGCCAACAGGGTTTAGGCAAACAGCTCTCCTTCCCTCTCTCTCTCCCTCTCTGCACTCTTTTCTTTTCTTATAGCTCTGCCCCCCCCCCCTTGCTTTTACAGTGCCGACTTTGCACTCACTCTCCCTCCCTCCCTATCTCTCTCTCTCATGTGCCAAGATTGTCTGTACTTCTGAAAAAGTTCGCCCTCTCCCTCTCTTGCTGGAATGAAACAAACGACAAGTGCAGCTGGCGGCCTCCTCCAACTCCGCTGCCCCCCCCCACCCTCCTCCTCCTCCTCCTCCTCCTCCTCCAACTCTATAATGAAGCATAATCAGTATTCAGCTGATTAAAGCCGTATGCAAATCTGCCCCTGCCTCGTTAGCAATGCAAGGCTTTGAAGTCCTGCGAGCGACGCATTTCACACCGGGCTCTGAAAGCTTTCTGCATAATTTAAACCCCTATAAATATTTATCAGCTCATTAGCATATTAATTGGATGGCTTTTGGAGGACGATAAAAAACAGGGGAATAAGGACGACACAGAGAAGGGGGGGGGGGGGGGGGGGGGGGTGCTCAAACTAGCACTTGGCGCAGAGCAGGGAGGGGAGGCAGCAGCACAAGACCAATTATTGTGCGAGTGCACGGCTAAAAAGTAATTAGCTAAGAGCAGGTAAAGGGTTGAAGATATCCCAGAATGCAGTGTGAGGCCTGTCAGCGGTGGTCTGGACATGTTAGCAAGGTGGACCGCATTAATAGAACGTCTAAGACTACTCGTTCGGAGTATCTCCAGGAGCCATGGAGACCGGGCCTAACTGCTAAAAAGGGGGGTCTGGGGTGTGAGTGGGAGGGGGACTCGCTCAATCGGAAATAAATAACTCCACATTAATCCACCACAAGCCTGTCATTACTGCGAGACCCCCTGTGGCTAAAGCATTCCTCAGCGAGCAGCTACAGAGAGTGGGTGGCGGGCTGTTGCTGTCTATGTTTATGAAGTGTTTGGGGATTAGCATATTTAGATTAGCTTTACATTCCATTAGTATTTCATTTTGGAGCCCTTTAAAATTCATTTCCAGCCTGCTCTAAGAGTTAATGCAGCGGGGGAACGGCCCGGCTCCGGCGCTGCACAGGTGTCCAGTGAATCAGAATGACTGGACAGGAATGCATGGCTGTATTGTGGTCTACAGGGGAAGGGGCTTACCGGCTAAATCCACAACAACTGCTCCTGGCTAAAGCTCTAATCAACTTCTTCACTTATCCCGCTGCCTGACGAAAGGCATTTACATACTGGCTGACCAGATCAAACAATGCCAAGAGGGCACGGTGGCATTAACACAGTGCGCGCTGAAAAACAAACAGACCTTTATCAGCAGGGTGAGGACATGAGGGGCAAGTCTTGAGTCACTAAGCAATGGTGGCAGCTGTTTGTAAACAGCAGCGTGCTTTTATGTTGAACGACCAGAGACCTTAAACCACTGGTTGCCCTGACGTTTTTCCTGAAATGCCCTGTAAGATGAGCTCAAACACTCCCTTATCATCAACACTACTCATCAGCTTCCAGGTGTGTTTGTTTGAACCAATCTTAAACAGGACATTATCCATGATTATTAAAAAAGGGCTGCGACTATAAATTATTTTCATTATCAAGTAGACTGACTGTTGTTAGGTCTATAAAATGTCAGAAATGACTAAGAAATGTCCTTCATAATATACCAAAACTAACAGTGACATCTTAAAAGTAGCTGGTTTTGTCTGATAAACAGTTTACGATCATACAATTCACGGAAAAGATGAAAATCCTGACAATTAAAAGACTGGAGCCAATAAATATTTAGTATTTTTTTCTAGAGTCACACAATTACTATCAATTACCTGACAGTTAGCGTATTTTTTTCTTATAATAATTGTGTAATCATTGACTAAGCTTGGTCTCTGTTTTCTAATTTCAGTGGCCTTGGCTAAAAATTTGTAAGACAACCACCTGATGTGGCAGCAACTACACGTTTCAGCAATTTTCCCATTACTTTTAAATGTCTATTTCTGCTTTCCTGCTCGCATGGTACCTCGGTTTCTGACCCACATTAGTGATGTTAGGGTGTTATACCTGTACCATGGGCTTGCTGTGGCTGGTAGTTTGAATATTTTAACGACAATAACACTTGTAATTCCATTTATGTACTTATAAGCCTTCTAAAAACAAAAATTTGGATTAGGGCTGAAACTCCCAATTAATAAATTAATTAAATCTCCTGGTTGTTTTTTTGTTTAGTCTGCGAAATGTTAAAAATTGTGAGAAATGCCTACCAACATCCAAAATATTTAAGGTATTCAAATACCTTGTTTTGTCTCACCAAAGGTTGAAAAGTTCACTATGACATATGACTAGAGCTGGGTATATGTACTCAGTACCTTTTAAGATATAATGTGCAGGACTTTCCAAAAAACTATGTATGGATTAATAAAGAAATAATCCCTCTCAATCATCACTTATGACCCCCTAGAAGTGTGGCAGTGAATATATATCTGCAGAGACTCTGCCCTCTGTCTGTATTTTCTTCTAATTATCTTTGTTCCAGACGTTTATGGGCGTGTACCCCCACAGGGCTCAGGTAAGATCGGGGCTTTATAAAAAGGCAGCGACCAGGTGCCAGACTGTGAGCAGCAGGCACCCAAGAGGCGACACACCAAACAAGAGTGAATCTGGGGTTGGCTTTTACTTTGACAGGCGAGTGTGCTCACAAACAAAGATACTCTATAACAAAAGATAACGCATTACAAGCTGCACCAATGCTACAAAATGGTATACGGTTCAGGGGTCTCATTTATAAACACTGGGTACGCACAAAATGAGGCCCGAAAGAGGCGTACACCACTTCCCGTTGAAAAGTTGAGGTCTATAAAAAAAGACTTGATGTTAGAAACTTTGACTCATGCTTATGAACATTTTGGAGATGGGAAACTTGCGACGCATATGGTGAGGTAGAAATCTGATTGATATTCTTGGCTTTTGTACATATGTACATTTATAGTATGGATCCTACGCACTCTTTATAAATGAGACCCTGGGTTTCCCAAGTGGGTGTCATCATCTCTCCCCTGCATGTCCCCACCTTGTTAAGAAATGTAGTAAACGTCATGTGGATGGATGAAAGCAGATCCAGAATTATACAACACTATATTCAATACAAATTCAATGTTTGTTCCTCATCGTGCCGCTCATTTTTATCTGCTAGCTAAATGTCTGATATCAACTGAGTGTAAGATCACGTCAGCTGTTGCCAGACCTCGCAAGAGTATGTTGCTAAACCAGAGACAAAGTTAATTTTCTTTTCACATCTGTCTAAAAAAGAATGCAATTTTTAGAGTCAGAATGTTTAGAAGGGTTGGAGCTCGTTTAAACGTGTCTAATATTTACCTTAGTGACTAAGGGGCGAAGGAAACAATCATTATCTGTACTCATGTTTACTTTCACCATTGGAATGAATGGACTCAGGGCTGCCGCTAGTCTGCTAAAGGGGCGGGGCAGCGAAACCCCCGTGACACAAATACAGGAAATCAATCTAAAGTGGGCCGACTTGGTTTATCAATAGCCTACGACTACTTTGCATAATATACCTTTAAGGTTATCTACCGAAATAACCCAATACCAAGTAGTATCAAAACTTCTCAAGTGAAATGTTACCTACATTCGTATGGTTTTGCTCACAGCCAATTACCGCAAGCATTCTTTGACTTAATGGCACGTGTGAGTGGCCCACTAATACAGGAGCTACAACCAATACAGTCTATGGTAAGGTCGAGCACAGGACGGAGCTGGAAGTCCAGTGCACCAAGACGCCAGTGATACCCAGCCCTATATAGGACAAAGTAAAGCAGCTTGATACCCAGAAAATGTTTAGTATTCACTTGTCCTTGTAACTGCAGAGTTACTCCTGTTTGGAAATCCCTGTCCCACACAATAAATGAACACTAGATCATACCCCAGACCACTCTCCACTGCTGATCTCTTCAAACAACACAATGTTTGGTTAAAGTCCAACCGACTGTTTACCAAGATGGCCACTATGAGATCTATATAGATGCCACATCACTGTGAAGAACCTGGAAGGGGTCCGTCTTTCTGACCTCTTCAACAATCACATCATGCAAACAAATAAACAAAAGGAGACGTGAACGCAGAGGCAGTTATCAGCGGTGCACTTCAACACATGTACAGTTACTTGGTCGAGCGGTTTGCAAAACCCTGCTGTGGAACAACGCATTACACAAATATCCTTCGAATAGAATTTTAAATAGGTATCTCATTAGCACTGTAATATGGGGAGTCTGGCTGAATACTGCAGAGCTGTTAATGTGAGCGGAGAGATTCAACATGAGACAGAGCAAAACTTAATTAGCACATCCACATTCTGTCCTACTACCTATTTTCCTCATCTTAAACACAGATACATCAAGGCCACTTTTCTAAATCTGGACCAGTCTGAGCACTAAGCACACTTTGAGACAGTCAGGATGTATAGACACAAGAAGATAATCTGTAAGGGCGTTAATAACCAAACAACCCAGAGCTTCCTGGTTATGGCTGACTCAATTTGAATATCCAAGCTGTTTAAAATAGCTTTTAATACTAAACCAGAACAACCTGACGACAGATGTTATACACAGCAGCACCGGACTGAGCCCACAAATGAACAAAATACAGTGCAGTGTTATTTGATAAGGAGCAATGCGGCTAACACCACTGTAAGACACTGTGTGGTATCTCCTGGGTGGTCATTAGCCAACTGTCTACAGGCTGGGAGGAAAACTCAATCTAACTGAATTAAAGTGCAGTTTCTGGGGTGGTGGTGAGTAGGAATATTCAGCTACTTCAAAACAGTGCATGCAAAGGTTAGCCATGATTCACTAGTACAGCGTGATGGTGCAAACAGCCTTACTTCACATATAAATTCACCACCTAAGCTGGTTTCAGCATTAACTGCTGGTTATTCATGTGGTGTGTGTTTCACTTTCTTGTTGTAACAGCAAAATACTCTCACTTTTGCCTCATCTATTTAAAGAAGGCA